AATATATAACACTCGCATCATGACTGGTTTGTGGTGAATGAATCTATAATGATGCCTGCAAACGAACTTAAAATTCTTATAACACCAGAAAATTTTTTTGGCCATGCAATGTGGTAAGTGACTAACCACATATCTTTGCTTTTCTCCCTGGGTGATTTAAAAACTCTGGCTTTAAGAAAAGTTACAAAATATTTTTTAAATTTTTGCTGAGGGACCGGTTTACAATTTTTGTTATAAATATACTATTTTAGACACTTATAAGTATTTAAAACAGCAATTATGTCATGTTATGACTATGTAACCAAATTACTTGATAAGCGCCCATTGCAGGTAGATGCCATTAATACTTGTACTGATTGCGATAATAAAGATGATATAAAGTTACCATATCTTCGCCCAACTTGTCATAGCTATACAGTTGCAGATAATATTTTGCCGTTTTATGGTTCAGATGAAAAATTTACTGATGTAGTAATTGAGAAGAAAACCCCAACTGCAGGAAAAGAAAAATTTGTACAAGAAATTAAAATTATTGCACTTACAAAAAATGGCGCAAAAAAACCTATTCGACCTCAACAAACCCATGCTTGGATTTTCTATTTCAAATTGTTGAAAATACTCATCGTAAACAAGTAGAAATCCTGCTAAAACGATCAAGGGAGTATGACGCTTTAACAAAACTAAAACTTATCGCACATTTAGGAGATATACGACATGGGAAACCTATAAAGACCGCATATCTATACTCTCTATATTGGTTGTACAATAATATGTTTAGTACACTGCGTGCTAATTTGAAACAGTTTGTTTACACTGGCTACTGGAAAGATTTACTGCAGTTGCTGATGATGGCCGCATTCAATGTCACTTACCGAATCATTTGGTATATAAAGAGAATTCTGAGTTGTGTAAAAAACGAATTAGAGGATATAAACCTAAAAATAATTATAGCGATAAGTGTTATTATCCGCTTAACCGGTACTATAAGGAGAAACGAGAGTATACTACCTTCTGAAACAGTATTATGACTTAAAGGATAAGGATATAGTAAGTAAGTATGTTATGCGCGAACATCGGATAGCGAACGCCAAGTTTGTATATCTAATTAATACCAATTACCGTATGCTTCATAATGCAATAGCAAACTTATTTGCTGATCAAGTATATGAAGATTCCATAAGTATGGAAAGAGATTTCCCTATCGGACTTGCTTGCAAGTGGGGTCCATCTCTCCAAATACAACATGATAAGTAAACACTAATATGTACATCCACTGCAAACAATTTAGTAGACCTTAATAACATTGGGTATCCTTACGGAAAATGCCTGTTAACGCAGACGCATCTAAATAGGGCGCAAACAAGCAAATGCGTAAGTACAAGAATGTAGTAGAACGTGTGATCCCATTCTGTTCAGAAGTACTATATGAACATGTATCATCTAAGAGTGTATTGCTGCATAAATATAATCATTTTTAAAACACGAGAAAGAACGATTCACAGATTTTGTGAATCACAAGAACACCAAAGCCCGTGGGTCAGTGTTTAAGCCATATGAAATCGTATTAAGCTTGCAATCATCTATGGCTAATACGCTTTTGAAGATAATAGAAAAGCAGTAGGAAGATCTAGTCTCCGATTTTAAAAAAATGCAAATTTTAACCAGGTTATAGCAGTTTGTGATGTCTCGTGGTAGGAACCCCTATAAAAGCCGCAGTTGGACTTACTCCTCTAACAATGGAGCTTATCAATCCTCCAAGGTTTGAATGCTTTATAAAATTGTTACAGAACCACAAATTTTCAAGGTGAGTTCCGAGTGGCCATTATCTCAACGAATTCATGAGATATATAATATGCCTTGGGGCGGTAACGCAAATATTGATGCCGTCTTTACTTTGAAACTTAATATTTGTGTTGCTCAAAACCTAAATCAAGAACATATCCCAAAGAAACTCTTCATTTTCATAGACATGGAATTTAATAAAGCGTCAGCACCATATACCAACATTCAATGGGCAAAATTGAAGTTTGCAGAATATGGGTACGCCTTACCTCAGGTTGCATTTTGGCAATTGTGTGATTGCGTCAATTCCAATAACTGCTACAGAGAAAGGAGTTATGGTATTTGGCTTCCGGAAATCTCCTAAAGGTAATAAGTGGATGCTATTTAAATAATATGAGTCCCGGATTGTTTTTGAATAAGGTTATAGAGGCCTATAGCCAATTTACCCTATGACGTATGTGAAATTCCATTAATATATACGTAAAAATAGTTTAGTATTATATATTTTTACTAATTGGAAAAAAGTATGGGAATTTAGTAAATCATATGAATAATTTCGTTTAGGTTGCTTCGTTGCAGCAGTAATGGGACACGGGTATACTCTGTACCCACCACCACGACTGTTTTGTCATACTGAAAAATAATTTTTACTACCCTAGTGAGGGTTCGAATGTACCATCGCGGCATGCAAGCTAGCTTATCAAGCAGCAGGGTAAGCTATTGGATCTAGCGTAGCGGCTGACATGTTTCTAAATAATAATTACTCAAAATATTGGGTATTGGTTACGACGATTTTTAGAAAGCGAAAAAAAAAACTGCAATTCCAAATAATTTATGTTCATCCGGTATAGACGAGAGAGATAAAAATTACACAAGTGTTAGTTTGCCCGCAAATTGGGCCTCATATATCATACCGACTACTAAAACAGAAGACTTCCCTAACATTGCCGATAGACTACGCATGTTCCTGGCCTTTTTAGAGTAAACCTTTTAATATAAGATTATGATGCATTCTTCAAAAATAGTGGATGGGAGTAAATTGGTGCTTATAAAGATCACTATCCAGCTGACTTACACGATAAATCAACTGTTCAAAATGAACTATGCGTATCATACCAATGTTCATCCTCAAAGGTCTATCAGATAAAGGATTCGATACCTTATATGTCACAGGGCTGTTTTTTACGACGTATAGCAAGGTGTGGGTTCCGCTGGTGATGGTTTTCATGCTTACTCAGATTTTATTCAAAGTACAGCAGTCGAGCCTAGAAATTAATAAGTGTACACCTATCTATCTTGAATATTATTTTTCTACAATATTAAGAAAATAGAGAACAGAAAAAAATAACCACTCCTGCTGACAGTCTTAGCTGTAATCGCTCTCTAATGAAACTGTATAACACTACTACAGATGCCGACTTGTGATCTGTACAGGTTATAGCAAATGATAGACCCAACAAAAATGATAACTGAAAACCACAACCGTACTTATAAAAATACTGCAATGATTCTAATTAGCCCTGGTTCTACTTCAAGATGTGTATTACAGAAAATAAATTCAGAGTTCGCTATATGTGAGGGCAAGATGAACGCTAATCTATTTACAATCAAATAATGACAAGGATAGTGATATTAGTGATATTCAGCACGAATATGGTTGAACATGGGGGCTCACTAGCTATAGTTGGGAGGATCCTACACGAGACATGAATGCTTTAGATAAAAATTAAGACCGGTTGTACGCATTGCCCTCACGTATATAAGACGTACTGGGGTTGATGACATGGAAATTTCTTTGGATGGTTCTGCCCGTAGACTAACTGTAGAACACAGAGAACCGAATATGAATGTTTTAAAAATGCGCAGATTACTATAAAACTACGTTTTACATGTGAAGATACAAATAATAAAATAGTTCAAACATAAGCAATATGTAATAATATGACACTATTCAGTAGTCACATGTAAACAATATTTAAGTTTGCATTAACTGTTTACGCGTATGCAAATGCGTTGCGTACTACCTTCTAATTTGCATCTAACAGATGTGCAGTTTTCAAGTCATACCATATATATGATATTGTGTCTTAGTTCATACATATGAATAAGAATTATTCCTCTGGTAATACAGTATTCATCAGGCACACGAGAATAATGTGTTACTAACAATATATAAATAGATTATCACAAAACTTCTGAAGTCATGGATTAAAAATACCGAATTATCTTTCAAAAATTTTATTATTGTAAGGTAAGAAATTAAAAGATTTTTTATATAAATTTTTTAAAGCTGTCCTTTAATATTAAATAAAACTTAATATTATGAATTAAAATTAAAAAGAAAAATAAATTTGTTTAAAAAATATACACCTTATATATAAAGTAAAAAGTTTACTACTATTTATATATTTATTTAAAACGTAAAAGTTATGAGTATATTAAAAAAAATTTTTTATTTAAAGTTGTTTTAATAAATGTTAAAAATCTTTACTATAGTGAAGTAAATTGTTTTAATAAATTAATTAACTTTAAAAATTTGAAAACTAGCAATTTAAAAAAAAAAGAAAAGCCTTGCTTTTTTATACCGAATAAATATACATTTATCTCCTATTAAGTTAAAAAAAATTGCATCTCATTTAAGTCAAAGAGTCAACCTGGTAACTTATTAAAAGATATATATATATATATATTAACAATACACACAGCGTTTAAAGAGCTTAAAAGTTTTATACATAATTGACGAACACTAAAGAAAAATTAATCAGTCATAATTTTTTAAGAAGTCAAGGACACTCCACATATATATGAAAAACTTTTCGAATTTCTTCTCTATTTTAATATAGAATAAAGTGAACCACAACATTTAGTTAAGAATGTATAAAAAATAATCTCTTTTAAAATAGGAGTCTAAAAAGGAATAGCATAAATCATAAAGGTGAAAGTGTAAACATTATTTTCCGTTCATAATAATTTTACAAATTTTTTTTTTACTAAAATTGTTCTAATTCTCAAGTAAATAGCATAATAAGCATAACATTAAACTTTTTTTGTAAATTAAATGCAATAGTAAGATCTTATTATATAACTAACTTTTGACCTGGTGCTCTATAGAATAATTCCGTTAAATTATTTCTTTTTAGATAAAATATAAAATATTGTTTTATTAAGTTTTATTCAAAAATTCTTCTTTTGCTGCTTCTTGAAGTATATAAACCTTTTTTGTTTAACAGGGCTTTTAGTATTTTAAAGCTTTTGCTATCTTCAGCTGATCCCGAAAAGCATGCTAGTTTAATTTAATGAAGTTATAGTTTTAGTCAATTAATATTTTAATAAATAATTCTTCGAGTTACGAGTAACCCTTTAGATGACTAATTAAGTTAGTTTAGTTTATTTGTCTGGTTTTAGTTTGAGTTCTAATCATTTACTAGGCCCTGCCCACAGAACGAATAACAACAAAGCAAAGAAGCGCGCAATACGAAAGAAAGGATTCGATTTTCTATTAAGTGTATATGTTTATATATGTGAACAGCTAGTGCAGTAATCATACTCATTTTATAGATTAAATAATCTATAAAATGTATCATAGCATTCTAGCAGCGTTTCAAGGTCTCCAAGCTTTGCTACCGAGAAATCTTTGACAAAAGTAATATGAACTCATTACAAAATTGTTTCAGGCCTTGTGTGCTAGCCTGCATTAGATTTGCTCCCAAAGCATAAAGTGGGTGTATACCTAATTAAAAAGAATACAGCTTAAGTAGCGAGTTCTAATAATCTTTAGATTAGTTGCTTACTAGGCTTCTCTGTACACTTCATTTTAATAAATTTAAATTTGGGTTAATTCATAGAACAGTCTTGATTATCTAATAATCTACAACCATTAAGGGCGTTAGAATAAAAATACTTTGAAGAAAAACTTTACTTAAGGAAGGTTATCACTTTTTTTAAAACTAATAAAATGGTTTTCTTTACAAAAAGGTTGTGAGAGACGTAATTAAAAGAACAGATACAATCCTATAGTAAACGGTCTTAGTAAAATAAGATAAATCAGTAAAATATATTTTATCATTTAGTCTTACTTAATTTTGTAAGTCTTTAGTATGTTAGTGTACAGTTGAATTTTTAAAGTACGACACATGTTTAATAAACAATCTCAGGGGTTGCTAATAAAAAATTATATTTGATGTCCTTTATATATATAAATTATTAATATATTATAAATAGCACTTTTAAATTTCAAGTTCATATAAATAATATGTTGTAACAAAAGTTCTGAATTATATATTAATTATTAAGCGTTTTTTTTAGAATATATAGAAAAAAACAGCCGTGTATAAAGTTATTAAACTATGAGCGCTAAACTAAAAGAATTCTACCTGGAACTGCTGAGGGAAAGAGTTTAAAAGGGTGTGAATTATAGTAACTGACCCTGGGACTTTGGGGTTGCTTATTAAATATATAGCATTTAAGTAAAGTTGCGAACTGTATTAAAACAACTCGTTCTTTATTTTCTCTGCACATTACATACATGTAAATCCAGAAAAAAGGTTAAAGTAGCGAAAATCTTATAATAAAAACCCTTATAAATTTGTTTTAAGATCTAATGCTCTTTCTTTTTGAGTTTTTAATTTATATAAAGTTTATGCAAACGTTATTTAAACAAGTGAAAAGGGTGTATTGAAAATATCCATTTCCAATTTTTTAAGCTGGTAACCCCACAAAGGTGTTAAGACTAAAAAGGCAACTAAACTATTTTATTTTTAAAATTTTGAAAACTTTTGTTAATTAGAAAAAGGCTGGATGTCCAAAATCATTCTAATATTGTTCCTTCTTATTTATTAAAAAATGTTTTCCCTTGCAGAAAGTTCATTCATTGAGTTTTAGTAATAAGAATTTATCTAAGTTAATATATGAAGGGTAATTATATTCTAATAGTTGGTCAGTCTATGCTATTATTGTTTAAAATATATCACTGAAGATAAAGTAAACTACCTAATGGATATTACTCAAAAGGCAGCTGAGATATTGATACTTGAAAACCTTTTTAACAAATATGTTAGACTTTTAATAAATTATATAGAATCACTTTTAATTTCCCAGATTTGCTATGTGTGCATTCTAAACTAACAGAATATTTTAAAACTACTATAAAAGAGGAAGTATTTTATATACCTAAAAGTTATTATTATACTTCAACTTCTAATTTCATTTAAATTAAAAGTAACTTTGGTGTATTATTTATTTTTTTTAGAAAACAGAAGAATTTGAATATATTAGTATTACACATAGAAAATAATGTTAAGAAAGATTAAATAAAATAAAGTACATAAAAAAAAATAGACTTCTATAGTACTGATATTAAATTAATAACATTAATATTTCCATAGTATATATATAAATTAAACTAACTGAAAATTGACTTCTATTCTAGGAAAGATAAATAAAATGAAGTAAATGAAAATCGACTTCTACATTATTGTTATAAATTATTGGCATTAATATGTTAAGGGCTAGGTGCATGAAATGGGAAAATTATATACTAATTAAGTTACGTTTGCGTAATAAATTATTGTATTAAGATCTTAAGTTCATAAGTAAACCACTATAGGTAAGTCCCTTGTTCACAACCGTATTTTAAAAAAAAAGGAGTATAGGCTCCATAAAATGTTTTTAGCCATAAATAAGTAATGGAAGTGAAAATAACAATATTTTTAAATAGAAACTTAAAATTCGCTTGATCCCAAAAGTTATGAATAATAAGTTCGCATATCAAATTATGAATAAAATAAATGTTGAGTATAAGCACATTAAGGTTAATAAATATAAAATCTGTTAAAAAAACACACCTCATATAAATGATTATTATTTTTATCAGTTTTTACTTATAGGTCATAAGAAAAGAAATAAAAATATTTCAAATATAAAATAACAATATATAGAGGCCTAATGCTAAAAATATTATACGCGCTTCTACTTTTTTCAAATACAGTTGAAAGGACATTAAAGAGAAACTGATTTTTAATGCCTTAAAGACATACGGCATAAAATCTTCTAAATATGTAAGGTTGTTATATTCCGGAAATAACGCTCCTCACTTCCTCCTACTTAGTATGAACAAAATAAGTGCGTGTTTAATATAATGCTAACTGTGTATGATAATACGTATTTTTAAACCACATTTGTCCTAAAGCCTGCGTATTTATTTAAAAGGAGATATGTATCCGACCGTATTGAAATTTTTTTTTGAAAGAACTGATTATCTTGATGCTTAAAATGAAGTTTAAGTATTTAGAACAATAATAATAGAAGTGTAACGATTTTTTTTTATTAAAAAAAAGTTAGTAGCTGTCGGAATGGATTAAAAAAGGGAATAAGGCTAAGAATTGCTTGCATCGTAAGCGGAGATTTTCATGGCAGCTTAATTTTCTGTGCAGCTCAAAATGAGACTTCTTTATTAAAAAAAAAATTGGATATATACTAAAAAATGATAAGCCTACTTAAGATGTATTTTTAGCTTTATCATATGAAATCTTACAGTACTTCCGCATTGAGTACAATTTAAAATTTTTGTAGAAATTGCTACATTGTAAGCTTATACTTAAAATAGCAATGCGTCTATAATACGAAAACCCTCAAGATGATATATAAGCACTTCACGGTTATAACCATGGGGCTAAAGTTTGCCGTTATGCGCAACTTTCTGGCTCTGACAAAATATAATTGAAACTTGTTTATAGAGAAGTTTTACTCGTAACCATCCAACCAGAATAATGCGAGTTTGTTCCAAAGGTATTCGAACCCGCGGCCTTGAGATCGCAGGACAAATGCTCTGACAATTGAGCTACGGTGACAACTCATACTTTCGGAAGATAAATTACGAATTCAACTCTTGTGATAATATGGTATAGTTAGTCGACTATGCGTTGTTATTATCCTTTTAAGTCACTTGCAATCGAAGCTCGGCAAAAGGGCAACTGTATTTACAATTCTTAATAATGCGTGTAATTTAAAAACTCTTGCAAAAAGCTAAAGGTTGACAACGGGTAATTCTGTGCTCTTTTTGATGTTTACTCTCTATAAATGGTTGTAGCATTAACTATAGGGTTAAGGGGTTATAAGTGTAATCTTATCCTCAGGAAAGCGTAACAGAGAGTCAGAGTAACGATATGTTCTGGAGTAGGCATTAAATTTCGTGGTTGCGAAGACTGCTCGACTAACCAAGGCCTTTGCGGTAGAAGTTGAAACTCGTGGTATAGATGGGTATGAGTCTCAACACAACTTGCACACATGCATGTTTCTTTGTGGACGTGTTAATGTAATAATTATCTTTTTTTTTACTTTAGTACTAACCTTTTATATAATAAATCTTCGTTTTAACAATTAGTGTATATAAGGAATTAAAAAACCCTTCTTTATATTTTTACATTAACGCCATAATTTTCGGTCTTATCAATTTTTCTTTATATATACATCAAAACCAGCTACCTTCGGTAGGAATGGTAACTACGGATACAACTTAAAATAAATATTGGTTAGTTTATATTTCATTCAATTTCATCGCAGTGCATACGCAAAGGCATATCGTATCGAGTATAAATTATAACAGTTTTGATATAATACTTATTCTAAGATGCACCGCTTTATATTCCCATAATTATTAGTGACCGGATAATTCAAATATAAAACATTTTTCTAAATTTAATAAACTAAAACGATACTATTGGAATTCTTTTGGATAACTTTTATAATATTATTGGTGAGTCGCCCTCGCGTAGTTCATTCGATTAAACTGTAGCGTCCTTTTCAACAAGAAATATTAAGTAAGCATACAAACACTCTTCTCATTGAATTATTTAGAGTGAACCTTTGAGCAATTATTTTTGTATGCGCAGTTACTTGAGCAAATTCACCGAAAGGCCACCGCAACCTAGCAAACTGAACGGATAAGTGAGACGCAGCTAAGTAATACCACCTAATATCTAATTAGTTTAGTAATTATACACCTTTATAACAGTATCATAATTTTACAGCTGTTTGCAGAAATTTCACAAGTATCGATGAATTAAAAAGAAGCGACTTTCAAAAAGCATTGAATCTGAAATTAAATAAATATGCTCCGTTATGACTTGTTTGTCCACTAATATAACTCCAAAGCTATTAAGAGTAGGGTTACAAATATATTTATATACATAAAAAAGTTGTTTTTTATGATGCGTTGAGATTAAATAAAAAATTGTTTTTCCAGAAGATTTTGTTAAATACTAGTATTGAAAGATATTTAAATATAGACTTTAATTAGATATAATCTAGCTGTAATTATTGAAATCAAGTATAAGCAGTGAGAACATATAATATATATTCAAGAAACCCACAAAGTGTAGGTAGAAACGTAACTTTTTGCCTATAAAGTGTAAACTTCAACCTTGAATGACTGGTTATAATAAATTAAAAAAAACGCATATCCCTTCAATGGCTAAAATGTGGAATTTTAATGTAATTAATGCGACTAATCATAACTACTAAAAATCTTAATATACTACAAAAGTATAAATAATTTTTTTTTTAGATTATAATTGTTATACCTTATTAGATTGCTTCGCAACCATGTGACCTTGGATGATCTACAATTTTTCGCACTTTTTCTCCCATAGGTAGCCTTTCAAGGTGTCAAGAGTTTACTACTAACTTCGACATTTTGTACGTATTATTTAAATACTTTTCAAAGGGGCAGGCGCTTAAATTATTTTGAAATGAATGCTATTGGTTATGTGCCGTAATAATTTCTCGAACCTCAGTATAGTTAATAATTTTTCTATTCCATATTTTTATATTTTTAAAGCTTTTTCCAATAAAGCGCA